GGAATTGGCAGCTACTGTGATATCACAACATGAGACGAAGAAGTCAAGTAGACAGTAACACCTATCATGAAAGGTCATGAAGGATGAAGCAAATTAAAGGAAACGACTTATGCAAAACACCTAGGATGTTATCTGACACAGAGTAGGGACACAAAAATGGCAGCATTGAGTTTCATTAGTGTCAGCTGTAAAACTTGATAAATACTGTCTTCCATGCAGTTTGTGGTTTTCTCTAGGTAATTAGTATGGCTTTGATCTGATTACTGCTGATTTTTTATTTGATCATCCACTAATCAAATGGTGGTTTGCACCCATTTGTAAGGCAGCCTGCTTACCTATCAAGGTGTGACATAACTGTTTTGGAGATGTCTCCACCTGCTTCTTGCAATACTCGGATAATCTGAAACGGTGCACTTGGATTCCGTCCAGGATGGATAATAACGGGACAACCAAGCTGGGTCTGGGCATGAGCTGTTGCCTGAAGAACCTTTCTTTCACTCTCAGTCAAAGGCCAGGAGCAACCAATTTCTCCGATAACGCCACACTTGATACTGGTTCCATCAGCTCCATGGAGAATTTCATGAATAAGGACATCGGTAAGCTAAGGAAGAGCGAGAATGAACACATTTTATGGGTTGTGAAATTATCCAAATAGATCTATCACAGTATGTGAATGAATTTATTTATGGAGTCATTCATTCTTTTGAAAATGTATTCAACATTCATTCTATTAATATTGGCCCATGAGAAAGACATTTTGCTGGCCAAATCACAAATTCAACAAGTTATTCTAAATTTAAGAGTCAATAATACTTACTGTGATTATTTAACAAGAAATTTACAGCTTTGGGAAGCTATTGGGGAGGGGGAAGTAACTATGATGGTACATTCTGATTGAGAAAAAAAAATCTATAATTTAACCTGAGGAGCAGCATCTAGAACATAGAAAGACCGCCACTAAATCTGTCAATTGTACCAAGTAATTCTTCAATTCTCTCTTATTTGTTCAGTCCTTTACCCTCCGCAGCATAGAAGTACACCGTGTACAATACTACCGTTACACTTTTGGGTTCAAATGTACATTTGCTGCTAAGAGTGGTTGGCAGAGTGTATGATACCTGCCATTTGCATAGTCTTCAAATAACATAAATATATTAAAAAATAAAGACCTGATAGGAAAATAATGCAGATACAATTTTGAAATACAAAGTGTTTTAAGGAGTAATTGATCCTTTGCAAAGAGTGCAGCTGACATTCTACGCCCATCAAACAGGCAATGGAAGATACATAAGAATAAACACATACATGCATCAACAATATAAACAGATACATGTGTTTAGAAAGAGAGCACATACATGTACAAAAAAGCTTTGCAGCGTATTCCTTCTTTTTGTCCCTAAATGATTTACGTCTTTCTGCCCATTCTTAAGATCATATTATGTCAGAAACAGGGGAGTGAATTTTCTTCTACCTTTCCTGCTTTGTAAAAGGTGAAGGAAACATATTCACAAATATGCCAAGTCTCTGCCTGCCAGGTTTTACCCTACAGTGAATCTCTATTGAGGGTTATTATAAAATCCAGGGGAAAAAAATCAAGGTTGCATAACTGAAGCTTCTAATGGAAAAGTGAGGTTTTCAAACAGGCTCTGGCACCACTGCTGGGCACAGATACAA